TTACGGGGATCAAACCCGCCGAGCCTTCATCAGTGCTACTGGACATAAGAGAACACGAGTCTAGGCATGAGCTAAGTAACAACCCACACCCTCCAAAACAATTCTCAAGATTATCAACTACCCAGATTGCCTATCAATGGGCATTCGCCAACACAGCAGTGGGTAAAAACCCAAGGTTGCAGGTGTCAGTCTTCAGGAGGGTCTTCTTCCGAACTGTCGATAAGCCTTGGTAACTTGGCTCGCACAAGTAACTTTTGAAGGTTACGTGCACACCTCCATGCAATGAAAATATTCCCCATATAAAATCCGCGTGAGTTGAGACGATTTTTGAGGCGCCTCAAAAGGACCCCCAGCCTGAGACGTGCTGTTAACGGAGTAAACAGCGTCTTCAAGACAAGGGGCCCGCGGTCAGGGGGAGTAGAAATTCGGTGTGCCTGGCGAGCTTCAGTCTGCTCCAATAGGAGCGGGCGTTGTCGGAAGAGAACACTCTGGAAGATGGGTGTCAGAAAATCAGCCGGATAACCCCGATCTCTTAGCCGCTGGAAGAAAGCACGCTTAGAAGCAAAGTAGGTTTGAGCAGATGACGAGCGCAAGAGGTAACGCTTCAGCTCCGCCCGTATGAAACCTATCTTGCAGTGTCGGGGGTGGAATGACGAAAAAGGCAGGTACAGGTACCGGTTCATCGGTTTCTGAAAAGTTTTCAGATCCAGGGTACCCTGCTCGGCAAAACGTTGACCCTTGAAGATGACCAGGTCGAGGAAGTCAGCCGAACTGTCTGAAATGTGCCACGTGAGCTTGATGTTTGGATCGAGCGTGTTGAAGGTGTTCAGGTACTCCTCCAATTCGCTCTTCGATCCGGGCCAAATTATTAACCCGTCGTCGATGTAGCGCACGTGGCACAATGGTGTAGTTCCAGACCACCGCCTTGAAAGAATCTCGTCCAGCCAGCTCATGAAGAGGACAGCAAAGCATACTGCAGCAGGAGTTCCCATAGCAGTCCCTTGTGTCTGTTGGTAGATTCGGCTGTTGAACTCCACGAAAGAATTCATCATGACCCATTCCAGCAAGGCCATGACTGGTTGAGAATTCACGATTCTCCCTCGTTGAAGAAAATTGCCCACCGCATCGAGCCCTCGCCTTAGTGGGATGCTGGGATAGAGCGAGGTGACGTCGTACGTAGCTAGAAGTATTCCTTTAGGAAAGGCGGTCTTTTCCAGCATCAGTAGCAATGAGAGGGAGTCGCGCAGGTAAGTTGGCTGTTGAAGCACCAGTGGTCGAAGTTCCGCGTCCAACCAACGGCTAACATTCGAAGTCACCCATGAATGCGAAGCTGCGATAGGCCGCCCCGCGAGTTTCTTCTTGTGTAGCTTCGGAAGGATGTAGAACGCCGCCGGTCGCCATCCTCCGCGCGGTTTGTCAAAGAAAAATTTCCAAAGGCTCTCGGGAAAAGCAGGTCCCCACACGCTTTGCAGATCACGCAGCTTCCGCACGACGTCGGCGGTAGGATCTCGATGAACTGGAGTGTAGGTCGTCGCGTCGTCAAGATGGTCGAGACAGAGGCGAACGTAGTGACTCCGGTCCATGACAGTGATCCCGACGTTCTTGTCGGCAGGTTTCACTACCACGTGTCGATCCGCAGCGATGGAGCGCAACGCCCGTCGAACACCAGACGAGATGTTCTGATGTCGGATCGGGTGGGTTGCCTTCAACAGGAAGGACAAGTCGAATGACGAATCCTTGAAGACCTGCTCTGGAATTTGAATCCGATCAGGAAGCCAGTCGGGATTCCGCACTCGAAAGCGCGAGTCCCCCTTCCGACCGCCGTCATCCTTGAAGAAAAGTCGAAGCGAAATCTGGCGTAGGAGCTGGTCGAGCTCCACAGCACCAGACAGGGAAACGGCAGGCGTTGGAATGAACTTCAGTCCCAACCCCAGCCCCTTCTTCTCGTCCGAAGACAAGACCTTGGAGCTGAGGTTATGTACTCCCCGGTTCCGGATCCGTGTCGACAGCTGCCGCACTGTCAACCGTCCGAACCAGCGGAGCGCCAAGTCGTGACTGGTTAGTTCTTGCGCGGCCCTTTTCCGGGGCCGCCTCCGCCGTTTTTTGGTCCCTTGGCCTTCTCAGATGTCTGGCCACCCGCTTGCTGGTCTTTGTCGGTGCCGTTCTTCTTTTTGTTCTTCTTACCCCCGCGTTTCTTCTTCGGCTTCGAGTCCGTTGCCGTATTAGCCGAGAGGCGCTCCTGAGGATCAGGAGTGAAGGGCTTCGACGTTCCGGCAGACGATTTCTTTTGCTTCGAGTCAACAGCGGGGGCCCGGGAGGAGTCCTGTGCTCCGAGAGAAAGATTTTTCAGCAGCTTCTTCATCAGATTGGATTCAATTTTTGGCGCGAGCTCCCTCCAAAACTTGTGTTCAATCCGCTTCGCGTGCTTGTCCATAATCTTCTCAATCCCGGTCTCGGTTTCCATGTCATGCACCTCCTCGGACGCAGCAGCCTTCTTCAATTCTTCAGCAGCTACCTTCCGCTGTCGATCCAGCTCCTTGATGACGATGTCATCTTTCGCAGCTGCGATGTCGGAATTCGCCTTCGCAATGCATCTCCCCTTGAGCAGTCGAAACTTCTCCTTGGCGGTATCAGAAACCACCAGATCGGGGTTAGTGCTCAGGCTTTGAATATAATCTTCCATCGTTGCAGCTAGAGCGGTGACGTGCGAATTCGCCGCTGTCTGCAGCTCTTCAACCTCCAGTGCCTTTGAGGCGATGAAGTCCGCCTGCAGCCGTTTCTGGTTCGCCTCGTGAATCGCGGCGACGGATGCAGCAGATTTCTCTTTAACGGACGGAAGCTTCGTTTGGAACTCGACAGCCTTGGTGCGGATGCTGTGAAGCAAAACACCTTGAGCATCGAGATCCTTCATCTTCTTGAGCTTCTCTTTCGCCTTCAGCAAAGTCTTGAAGTCGTCGCGAAAGCTTTTGACAGCCGACTCCGTCCATCCCTTGAAAGGTTGAGGGATTGGAGAGGTGTCGGCAGCTTCCGCCATGACGCTTGGACGACTTGTCGACGGGCCGGTGGGATGAGCTTCAGCTTGCTTGCTTAGTAGAGTGGGTTCGTAGGTCAATGCCAGTGGAGGGATTCTCTTCCCAGCTCCAGATCGCCTGGCGTGTCTTGCGGAGCGTGATGATCCTCCCTCCCCACGAACGCGCTTAACCGAGCTACGACCACTTGTACCGGCTTCTTCCTCGTCGGATGGAATCCAATCGAAGTCCCACGGGTCGTCGTCACTCATGGTCTTGGGAAGAGCAGCAGTGCGAAGTCAGTCGCTTGAGCAACAAGAATGAGAGTAAAAAATCCTAGGCAGAGATTTGCTTCGTAAAAACTCTTCACTCAAATTTACCAGGTCGCAAACATGTTTCGGCTTACGGGGATCAAACCCGCCGAGCCTTCATCAGTGCTACTGGACATAAGAGAACACGAGTCTAGGCATGAGCTAAGTAACAACCCACACCCTCCAAAACAATTCTCAAGATTATCAACTACCCAGATTGCCTATCAATGGGCATTCGCCAACACAGCAGTGGGTAAAAACCCAAGGTTGCAGGTGTCAGTCTTCAGGAGGGTCTTCTTCCGAACTGTCGATAAGCCTTGGTAACTTGGCTCGCACAAGTAACTTTTGAAGGTTACGTGCACACCTCCATGCAATGAAAATATTCCCCATATAAAATCCGCGTGAGTTGAGACGATTTTTGAGGCGCCTCAAAAGGACCCCCAGCCTGAGACGTGCTGTTAACGGAGTAAACAGCGTCTTCAAGACAAGGGGCCCGCGGTCAGGGGGAGTAGAAATTCGGTGTGCCTGGCGAGCTTCAGTCTGCTCCAATAGGAGCGGGCGTTGTCGGAAGAGAACACTCTGGAAGATGGGTGTCAGAAAATCAGCCGGATAACCCGATCTCTTAGCCGCTGGAAGAAAGCACGCTTAGAAGCAAAGTAGGTTTGAGCAGATGACGAGCGCAAGAGGTAACGCTTCAGCTCCGCCCGTATGAAACCTATCTTGCAGTGTCGGGGGTGGAATGACGAAAAAGGCAGGTACAGGTACCGGTTCATCGGTTTCTGAAAAGTTTTCAGATCCAGGGTACCCTGCTCGGCAAAACGTTGACCCTTGAAGATGACCAGGTCGAGGAAGTCAGCCGAACTGTCTGAAATGTGCCACGTGAGCTTGATGTTTGGATCGAGCGTGTTGAAGGTGTTCAGGTACTCCTCCAATTCGCTCTTCGATCCGGGCCAAATTATTAACCCGTCGTCGATGTAGCGCACGTGGCACAATGGTGTAGTTCCAGACCACCGCCTTGAAAGAATCTCGTCCAGCCAGCTCATGAAGAGGACAGCAAAGCATACTGCAGCAGGAGTTCCCATAGCAGTCCCTTGTGTCTGTTGGTAGATTCGGCTGTTGAACTCCACGAAAGAATTCATCATGACCCATTCCAGCAAGGCCATGACTGGTTGAGAATTCACGATTCTCCCTCGTTGAAGAAAATTGCCCACCGCATCGAGCCCTCGCCTTAGTGGGATGCTGGGATAGAGCGAGGTGACGTCGTACGTAGCTAGAAGTATTCCTTTAGGAAAGGCGGTCTTTTCCAGCATCAGTAGCAATGAGAGGGAGTCGCGCAGGTAAGTTGGCTGTTGAAGCACCAGTGGTCGAAGTTCCGCGTCCAACCAACGGCTAACATTCGAAGTCACCCATGAATGCGAAGCTGCGATAGGCCGCCCCGCGAGTTTCTTCTTGTGTAGCTTCGGAAGGATGTAGAACGCCGCCGGTCGCCATACTCCGCGCGGTTTGTCAAAGAAAAATTTCCAAAGGCTCTCGGGAAAAGCAGGTCCCCACACGCTTTGCAGATCACGCAGCTTCCGCACGACGTCGGCGGTAGGATCTCGATGAACTGGAGTGTAGGTCGTCGCGTCGTCAAGATGGTCGAGACAGAGGCGAACGTAGTGACTCCGGTCCATGACAGTGATCCCGACGTTCTTGTCGGCAGGTTTCACTACCACGTGTCGATCCGCAGCGATGGAGCGCAACGCCCGTCGAACACCAGACGAGATGTTTTGATGTCGGATCGGGTGGGTTGCCTTCAACAGGAAGGACAAGTCGAATGACGAATCCTTGAAGACCTGCTCTGGAATTTGAATCCGATCAGGAAGCCAGTCGGGATTCCGCACTCGAAAGCGCGAGTCCCCCTTCCGACCGCCGTCATCCTTGAAGAAAAGTCGAAGCGAAATCTGGCGTAGGAGCTGGTCGAGCTCCACAGCACCAGACAGGGAAACGGCAGGCGTTGGAATGAACTTCAGTCCCAACCCCAGCCCCTTCTTCTCGTCCGAAGACAAGACCTTGGAGCTGAGGTTATGTACTCCCCGGTTCCGGATCCGTGTCGATAGCTGCCGCACTGTCAACCGTCCGAACCAGCGGAGCGCCAAGTCGTGACGACCGAAGCCCAGGAGCAAACGGTTGAAGGAAACGGCTCTCACCCTGCGAACTCCGAAGCCCAGGAGGTGCTGCTCTGAGTTTTGAGAGGTATTGCACGCACTTAAAAGAGGGAGGAGCTGAAGGAAACGGCTCTCACCCTGCGAACTCCGAAGCCCAGGAGGTGCTGCTCTGAGAAGGATCCATTGAGGTACCCCACCACGGAGCCGGATGTGATCACAGCCGCCAGTGACTGAAAGGAGTGGCGACGAGAAAAGGAAGATAAGGGGAGGTGCACTGGAGTTTTTGGGTGAGATGAGATGACATGGCATGGGGCCATAGGAACGATTTCAGAAGAGTTGGTGGAGCTAACAGGGTGAACTGAGCACCTAGCACCTATGCACACAGGTGTGCCTATATGCATGTACACACAAGCACAAGGGATGGCCTTTGACATGGGCTTTGAGTCGACTCGAAACGCCTTCAGTGAAGCGATAGGGCCCAGTCTAGAATAGCAAAATGTAGCTCAAGAATCAGTCATGCGACTAGCATGATGTAAGGGTACAAGAAAAGTGTACCTGTACAGGAGGAGTGAGGTTGTTAACAGTGAGGATGGAGGTAAGATTGGCAGTGTAGCTGCAGGTGACGATGAGAACCACAAAGAGCCAGGAGATAACCACGAAGCGACCCAACACTGTGCCCACGTGCTGCTCTGTGGAGGGTGGATGGACAGGCGGGTAAAAATATGGCATGTGAGTCCGATCCGAGAAGAGGTGTTTCAATGGCACCAAGAGCCATGGGATGATCACAGAGTGACCCAACAGCCATGACCACATGCTGCTCTGTGGCAGGTGGAGTGGATGGACCAGTGGGTGAATACATGGCGCATATACGAGCATGTAGTGAATACATGACGCATATACGAGCATGTAGTGAATACATAATGGATATACGAGCATGTAGTGAATACATGACGCATATACGAGCATGTAGTGAATACATGATGGATATATGAGCATGTAGTGAATACATGATGGATATACGAGCATGTAGTGAATACATGACGCATATACAAGCATGTAGTGAATACATGACGCATATATGAGCATGTAGTGAATACATGGCGCATATACGAGCATGTAGTGAATACATGACGCATATACGAGCATGTAGTGAATACATGACGCATATACGAGCATGTAGTGAATACATGACGCATATACGAGCATGGGGTGAATACATGGCCCATATACGAGCATGTAGTGAATACATGATGCATATACGAGCATGTAGTGAATACATGACGCATATACGATACGAGCATGTAGTGAATACATGACGCATATACAAGCATGTAGTGAATACATGACGCATATACGAGCATGGGGTGAATACATGGCGCATATACGAGCATGTAGTGAATACATGATGGATATACGAGCATGTAGTGAATACATGACGCATATACCAGCATGTAGTGAATACATGACGCATATACCAGCATGCAGTGAATACATGACGCATATACGAGCATGGGGTGAATACATGGCGCATATACGAGCATGTAGTGAATACATGACGCATATACGAGCATGTAGTGAATACATGACGCATATACGAGCATGTAGTGAATACATGACGCATATACGAGCATGTAGTGAATACATGACGCATATACGAGCATGTAGTGAATACATGACGCATATACGAGCATGGGGTGAATACATGGCCCATATACGAGCATGTAGTGAATACATGATGCATATACGAGCATGTAGTGAATACATGACGCATATACGATACGAGCATGTAGTGAATACATGACGCATATACAAGCATGTAGTGAATACATGACGCATATACGAGCATGGGGTGAATATATGGCGCATATACGAGCATGTAGTGAATACATGATGGATATACGAGCATGTAGTGAATACATGACGCATATACCAGCATGTAGTGAATCCATGACGCATATACCAGCATGCAGTGAATACATGACGCATATACGAGCATGGGGTGAATACATGGCGCATATACGAGCATGTAGTGAATACACGACGCATATACGAGCATGTAGTGAATACATGACGCATATACGAGCATGTAGTGAATACATGACGCATATACGAGCATGTAGTGAATACATGACGCATATACGAGCATGTAGTGAATACATGACGCATATACGATCATGGGGTGAATACATGGCGCATATACGAGCATGTAGTGAATACATGATGGATATACGAGCATGTAGTGAATACATGACGCATATACGAGCATGTTGTGAATACATGACGCATATACGAGCATGTAGTGAATACATGACGCATATACGAGCATGTAGTGAATACATGACGCATATACGAGCATGTAGTGAATACATGACGCATATACGAGCATGTAGTGAATACATGACGCATATACGAGCATGTAGTGAATACATGACGCATATACGAGCATGTAGTGAATACATGACGCATATAAGAGCATGTAGTGAATACATGACGCATATACGAGCATGTAGTTAATACATGACGCATATACGAGCATGTAGTGAATACATGACGCATATACGAGCATGTAGTGAATACATGACGCATATACGAGCATGTAGTGAATACATGATGGATATACGAGCATGTAGTGAATACATGATGGATATACGAGCATGTAGTGAATACATGACGCATATACAAGCATGTAGTGAATACATGACGCATATATGAGCATGTAGTGAATACATGGCGCATATACGAGCATGTAGTGAATACATGACGCATATACGAGCATGTAGTGAATACATGACGCATATACGAGCATGTAGTGAATACATGACGCATATACGAGCATGGGGTGAATACATGGCCCATATACGAGCATGTAGTGAATACATGACGCATATACGAGCATGTAGTGAATACATGACGCATATACGAGCATGTAGTGAATACATGACGCATATACAAGCATGTAGTGAATACATGACGCATATACGAGCATGGGGTGAATACATGGCGCATATACGAGCATGTAGTGAATACATGATGGATATACGAGCATGTAGTGAATACATGACGCATATACGAGCATGTAGTGAATACATGACGCATATACCAGCATGCAGTGAATACATGATGCATATACGAGCATGGGGTGAATACATGGCGCATATACGAGCATGTAGTGAATACATGACGCATATACGAGCATGTAGTGAATACATGACGCATATACGAGCATGTAGTGAATACATGACGCATATACGAGCATGGGGTGAATACATGGCGCATATACGAGCATGTAGTGAATACATGATGGATATACGAGCATGTAGTGAATACATGACGCATATACGAGCATGTAGTGAATACATGACGCATATACCAGCATGCAGTGAATACATGACGCATATACGAGCATGGGGTGAATACATGGCGCATATACGAGCATGTAGTGAATACATGACGCATATACGAGCATGTAGTGAATACATGACGCATATACGAGCATGTAGTGAATACATGACGCATATACGAGCATGTAGTGAATACATGACGCATATACGAGCATGGGGTGAATACATGGCGCATATACGAGCATGTAGTGAATACATGATGGATATACGAGCATGTAGTGAATACATGACGCATATACGAGCATGTTGTGAATACATGACGCATATACGAGCATGTAGTGAATACATGACGCATATACGAGCATGTAGTGAATACATGACGCATATACGAGCATGTAGTGAATACATGACGCATATACGAGCATGTAGTGAATACATGACGCATATACGAGCATGTAGTGAATACATGACGCATATACGAGCATGTAGTGAATACATGACGCATATACGAGCATGTAGTGAATACAATACATGACGCATATACGAGCATGTAGTGAATACATGACGCATATACGAGCATGTAGTGAATACATGACGCATATACGAGCATGTAGTGAATACATGACGCATATAAGAGCATGTAGTGAATACATGACGCATATACGAGCATGTAGTTAATACATGACGCATATACGAGCATGTAGTAAATACATGACGAATATACAAGCATGTAGTGAATACATGACGCATATACGAGCATGGGGTGAATACATGGCGCATATACGAGCATGTAGTGAATACATGATGGATATACGAGCATGTAGTGAATACATGACGCATATACGAGCATGTAGTGAATACATGACGCATATACCAGCATGCAGTGAATACATGACGCATATACGAGCATGGGGTGAATACATGGCGCATATACGAGCATGTAGTGAATACATGACGCATATACGAGCATGTAGTGAATACATGACGCATATAAGAGCATGTAGTGAATACATGACGCATATACGAGCATGTAGTTAATACATGACGCATATACGAGCATGTAGTAAATACATGACGAATATACAAGCATGTAGTGAATACATGACGCATATACGAGCATGGGGTGAATACATGGCGCATATACGAGCATGTAGTGAATACATGATGGATATACGAGCATGTAGTGAATACATGACGCATATACGAGCATGTAGTGAATACATGACGCATATACCAGCATGCAGTGAATACATGACGCATATACGAGCATGGGGTGAATACATGGCGCATATACGAGCATGTAGTGAATACATGACGCATATACGAGCATGTAGTGAATACATGACGCATATACGAGCATGTAGTGAATTCATGACGCATATACGAGCATGTAGTGAATACATGACGCATATACGAGCATGTAGTGAATTCATGACGCATATACGAGCATGTAGTGAATACATGACGCATATACGAGAATGTAGTGAATACATGACGCATATACGAGCATGTAGTGAATACATGCCGCATATACGAGCATGTAGTGAATACATGACGCATATACGAGCATGTAGTGAATACATGACGCATATACGAGCATGTAGTGAATACATGACGCATATACGAGCATGTAGTGAATACATGGCGCATATACGAGCATGTAGTGAATACATGACGCATATACAAGCATGTAGTGAATACATGACGCATATACGAGCATGTAGTGAATACATGACGCATTTACGAGCATGTAGTGAATACATGACGCATATACGAGCATGTAGTGAATACATGATGGATATACGAGCATGTAGTGAATACATGATGGATATACGAGCATGTAGTGAATACATGACGCATATACAAGCATGTAGTGAATACATGACGCATATATGAGCATGTAGTGAATACATGGCGCATATACGAGCATGTAGTGAATACATGACGCATATACGAGCATGTAGTGAATACATGACGCATATACGAGCATGTAGTGAATACATGACGCATATACGAGAATGGGGTGAATACATGGCCCATATACGAGCATGTAGTGAATACATGGCCCATATACGAGCATGTAGTGAATACATGACGCATATACGAGCATGGGGTGAATACATGGCCTATATACGAGCATGTAGTGAATACATGGCCCATATACGAGCATGTAGTGAATACATGACGCATATACGAGCATGTAGTGAATACATGACGCATATACGAGCATGTAGTAAATACATGACGAATATACAAGCATGTAGTGAATACATGACGCATATACGAGCATGGGGTGAATACATGGCGCATATACGAGCATGTAGTGAATACATGATGGATATACGAGCATGTAGTGAATACATGACGCATATACGAGCATGTAGTGAATACATGACGCATATACCAGCATGCAGTGAATACATGACGCATATACGAGCATGGGGTGAATACATGGCGCATATACGAGCATGTAGTGAATACATGACGCATATACGAGCATGTAGTGAATACATGACGCATATACGAGCATGTAGTGAATTCATGACGCATATACGAGCATGTAGTGAATACATGACGCATATACGAGCATGTAGTGAATTCATGACGCATATACGAGCATGTAGTGAATACATGACGCATATACGAGCATGTAGTGAATACATGACGCATATACGAGCATGTAGTGAATACATGCCGCATATACGAGCATGTAGTGAATACATGACGCATATACGAGCATGTAGTGAATACATGACGCATATACGAGCATGTAGTGAATACATGACGCATATACGAGCATGTAGTGAATACATGGCGCATATACGAGCATGTAGTGAATACATGACGCATATACAAGCATGTAGTGAATACATAACGCATATACGAGCATGTAGTGAATACATGACGCATTTACGAGCATGTAGTGAATACATGACGCATATACGAGCATGTAGTGAATACATGATGGATATACGAGCATGTAGTGAATACATGATGGATATACGAGCATGTAGTGAATACATGACGCATATACAAGCATGTAGTGAATACATGACGCATATATGAGCATGTAGTGAATACATGGCGCATATACGAGCATGTAGTGAATACATGACGCATATACGAGCATGTAGTGAATACATGACGCATATACGAGCATGTAGTGAATACATGACGCATATACGAGAATGGGGTGAATACATGGCCCATATACGAGCATGTAGTGAGTGAATACATGACGCATATACGAGCATGTAGTGAATACATGATGCATATACGAACATGTAGTGAATACATGACGCATATACGAGCATGTAGTGAATACATGACGCATATACAATTAGGGTTGAGCAAACTACCCGCCCGGGTCGGGTACTTGGTACCCGGACCCGCTTTTAGGGCGGGTCGGGTATCGGAAATCCTGAAAATTACCCGCCGGGTCGGGTCCGGGTTACCCGGGCCGGGTATCAATACCCGCTGCCCGGAATGCTACCCGACGTGTCGGGTAACGGGTACCCGACCCGGTCGGGTAAAAAATTACCCGAGGTCGGGTATTCCACCTAGACATGGGCGTAAGTCGCGCTGTGTTTTAGGTTTTGCGGCAAAACAGTTTTGGAGGTGAGGGGGGACGAGTGGAGCCCTACCTAGCCTAGCCCTACCTAGCCTAGCCCAACTTTAGGATGTCCACTAGTAGGTGGCGGGTAAAATTACCTGCTTTTCAGGGGGTCCGGGTCGGGTATACCCGGACCCGCCAGGCGGGTATTATAATACCCGCCTAAAAAAACCGGGTCCGGGTAAGGGTCCTGGGCATATTACCCGACCCGGACCCGACCCGAAATTACCCGACCCGAGGTCGGGTATGGCAAAACCGGGTCGGGTCGGGTAATTACCCGGTTTTGCTCATGCCTATATACAAGCATGTAGTGAATACATGACGCATATACGAGCATGGGGTGAATACATGGCGCATATACGAGCATGTAGTGAATACATGATGGATATACGAGCATGTAGTGAATACATGACGCATATACGAGCATGTAGTGAATACATGACGCATATACCAGCATGCAGTGAATACATGACGCATATACGAGCATGGGGTGAATACATGGCGCATATACGAGCATGTAGTGAATACATGATGGATATACGAGCATGTAGTGAATACATGACGCATATACAAGCATGTAGTGAATACATGGCGCATATATGAGCATGTAGTGAATACATGACGCATATACGAGCATGTAGTGAATACATGACGCATATACGAGCATGTAGTGAATACATGACGCATATACGAGCATGGGGTGAATACATGGCCTATATACGAGCATGTAGTGAATACATGGCCCATATACGAGCATGTAGTGAATACATGACGCATATACGAGCATGTAGTGAATACATGACGCATATACGAGCATGTAGTAAATACATGACGAATATACAAGCATGTAGTGAATACATGACGCATATACGAGCATGGGGTGAATACATGGCGCATATACGAGCATGTAGTGAATACATGATGGATATACGAGCATGTAGTGAATACATGACGCATATACGAGCATGTAGTGAATACATGACGCATATACCAGCATGCAGTGAATACATGACGCATATACGAGCATGGGGTGAATACATGGCGCATATACGAGCATGTAGTGAATACATGACGCATATACGAGCATGTAGTGAATACATGACGCATATACGAGCATGTAGTGAATACATGACGCATATACGAGCATGTAGTGAATACATGATGGATATACGAGCATGTAGTGAATACATGATGGATATACGAGCATGTAGTGAATACATGACGCATATACAAGCATGTAGTGAATACATGGCGCATATATGAGCATGTAGTGAATACATGACGCATATACGAGCATGTAGTGAATACATGACGCATATACGAGCATGTAGTGAATACATGACGCATATACGAGCATGGGGTGAATACATGGCCCATATACGAGCATGTAGTGAATACATGGCCCATATACGAGCATGTAGTGAATACATGACGCATATACGAGCATGTAGTGAATACATGACGCATATACGAGCATGTAGTAAATACATGACGAATATACAAGCATGTAGTGAATACATGACGCATATACGAGCATGGGTTGAATATATGGCGCATATACGAGCATGTAGTGAATACATGATGGATATACGAGCATGTAGTGAATACATGACGCATATACGAGCATGTAGTGAATACATGACGCATATACCAGCATGCAGTGAATACATGATGCATATACGAGCATGGGGTGAATACATGGCGCATATACGAGCATGTAGTGAATACATGACACATATACGAGCATGTAGTGAATACATGACGCATATACGAGCATGTAGTGAATACATGACGCATATACGAGCATGTAGTGAATACATGACGCATATACGAGCATGTAGTGAATACATGACGCATATACGAGCATGGGGTGACTACATGGCGCATATACGAGCATGTAGTGAATACATGATGGATATACGAGCATGTAGTGAATACATGACGCATATACGAGCATGTAGTGAATACATGACGCATATACGAGCATGTAGTGAATACATGACGCATATACGAGCATGTAGTGAATACATGACGCATATACGAGCATGTAGTGAATACATGACGCATATACGAGCATGTAGTGAATACATGACGCATATACGAGCATGTAGTGAATACATGACGCATATACGAGCATGTAGTGAATACATGACGCATATACGAGCATGTAGTGAATACATGACGCATATACGAGCATGTAGTGAATACATGACGCATATACGAGCATGTAGTGAATACATGGCCCATATACGAGCATGTGAGGATGATTGTGGGTGTTTCAGCAGCACCAAGAGTTTTGGGATGGCACAAGGCCACCCAACCGATGCCCACATCTTGCACGGTGGAGGGTGGATGGATGGACATAAGCACAAGCACATATACGTGAGCACGTGACATTGCGCATTTGAGCATGCGGACATGCAAAATCATGTCATCTCAAATAGACTATGGTTGACACATCATGCACACAAGAAGCTACATCGTGGAGAAGCATGAAGACGGCTATGGACTATGGGTGAAAGACAGGGAGACGGCCGGCCGAGGGCTTGAGAATCAGGAGGACGAGCTAAGTAAATAGTCAAGATGTACCGGACGAGTCATTTTTTTGAAAATTCTCAAGATGTACCGGACCTTGCAAGCACCCAGCTGCTATCAGAGCACGTACCTTGCGAGCGGACCATGCTGGCAAATGCGAACCTGCAGGCGGAAACACAAGGGAGGGGGGGGGAGGGGAGGAGGGGGTGTGGGATAGGTGGGGGAGAAGACTGCTTTTGGGTCGACTTGGAAACAAGTGCCTCGTGATAGGCTCTGAGAACTCTAAAAAAACTAGCACAGCCTTGTGAGTGGGCCATGCAGGCAAAGCGAACCTGCCGGGGGAGACATGGGGAAGGGTGGGGGAGGGAATGTGGGGAAGGAGAGTTGAGGAGATGAACGCAGCAGCAACGACTGTAAGTACGATCAGCGCCCTCCCAGACATTACATGGTGCATGCGTTGGCCTTATGAGTCGACTCAAAAGCAAATACAATCAGCAGCCTCCCAGACATTATATGATGCATGGGTTGGCCTTACTGACAACTACGAATCAACAGCAATAGCTTACAAACCTCACCAGAGGCTGGTGGTGAGCTGGTGGCGGTAGCCTCCCTCCCCCCCCAAAGTCAAGGTTCTGGTTGTACTCGAGGTGGCAGATGACCACGGCTGTGAATGAAGACTATGGACGCTATCGTGAGCACTCGCAGGTGCCTATGGCATGCAAGATGAACCAGAGATGCACCGAGCGCACCAGGCGCACCGGATGCAGCAGATTCTGGGGTTGTTGATCCACCCCAAAGGGAAAGGGAAGGGAGGGGGCTGACCAGAGGCTGGTGGTGAGCTGGTGGTGGTAGGGCCCCCCTCCAAAGTCAAGGTTCTGTTGTGCTTGTGGTACGAGATGACTGCGGCTGTAACGACTATGGATGCTATCATGAGCGCTAGCAGGTGATTGTGGCATATCAGATGTATCAGATGCATCATGCGACAGATAACTTTTGAGTCGACTCAAAAGTCATGACTGTGGCATATCAGATGTATCAGATGCATCATGCACCAGATTCTGAGATTGATTCTTACCAGAGGCTGGTGGTGAGCTGGTGGTGGTAGGGCCCCCCTCCGAAATCAAGGTTCTGGTTGTGCTCGAGGTACCAGATGACCGCGGCTGTGAAGAATATGGAGGCTATCATGAGCGCCCACATGCTGGCTGTGAAGGGGTACAGGAACGCCCAGGGGTTCGTGGGGTCGCCCTGCAATACGGGCACCACCAACCCGAGGCCGGACTCCTGGGGTGGGGGATGATTGGAAAGAGAAAAGCGAGAAAGGGTTATCATGAGCGCCCGCCCACATGCTGGCTGTGACGGGTGTGTTTTGTTTTTGAGAATTCTCAAAGAGAAAAGCGAGAAAGCCCGCCCACATGCTGGATGTAAAGGGGTACAGGAACGCCCACGGGTTTGCGGGGCCGCCCTGCAGCACAGGCACCACCGGGTCCAGGCCTGACTCCTGTAGGGTTGGTTGCAGTGGGAGGACGAGAAAAGGGAGAGGGAGAAGCGAGAGGGACGGCACGACCGTATGAGCACCCCACATGGACGCTGTGCGCGGTTGAAGGTTGAAGGTCCGCCCAGGAGCGGTTGAAGGTCCGCCCAGGGGCGGTTGAAGGTCCGCCCAGGAGCGCTTGAAGGTCCGCCCAGGGGCGGTTGAAGGTCCGCCCAGGGGCGGATGGAGGCGCGCCCAGGGGCGGGTGGAGGAGCGCCCAGGGTCTGGTGGGCCCGCACTGCAGCACGGGCACCACCATGCCCAGGCCTGACTCATGGGGGATTCGTTTGGAAAGAGAAAAGGGAGGAAGAGTTACTATGCGAGCCCACATGGAGGCAGTGAAGAGGTGGAGGAACGCCCAGGGTTACGTGGGGTCGAGCTGCAGCACCACTGGGCCCAGTGCATCGCTGCGCAGCGGCCCTTTCCGCTCTGATTTGAGTGCGTTGAGTTGAGAGCATTGCTGGAGACAAATGGCTCTGATGCATTCCTTCCTGCTGTGAAAAACTACGATGTTGCCACAAAACACTGGGCCGTTACAATGAAGCATCCAGCGGTTACCATGAATCGCCAGTAGTTACCACAAACTAGGGGCTATGTATGTGGTAAGCACGAAGGAAGGAAGGGGAAGTGGCGTTTAGTATCATGAAACCCCGGGCGGTTACCACAAAGAAAGGCCTATGCGGTTACCAGAAACGAAGGCCTATGTGCGGTTACCATGAAGGCCTGTGTGCCATTACCATGAAGGCCTGTGTGCAGTTACCATGAAGGCCTGTGTGCGGTTACCATGAAGGCCTGTGCGCTGTTACCATAAAGGCTTGTGTGCGGTTACCATGAAGGCCTGTGTGCGGTTACCATGAAGGCCTGTGTGCGGTTACCATGAAGGCCTGTGCGCCGTTACCATAAAGGCTTGTGTGCGGTTACCATGAAGGGCTGAGTGAAGTCCACAGTCTGGGCGCGATCAGCTGTGACGGTGATGTCCCCTATCGCCCCGTCAAACTCCTGCGGGGGGGGGGAGGTGTGGTGTGGGGGGAAGGAGGTGTGGGGGAGAGGTGGGACGAGGTGGGAGTGAGATAGCTGTGACTGTGATGTCCCATATCTCCCCATCAAACTCCTGCGGGGGGAGGAGGTGCGGGGGGGAGGTGGGACGAGTTGAGGGACGAGGTGTGGGGGAGGAGGTGCAGGACGAAGTGTGGGATAAGTGCATGTGGGATAGGATTGGGATAGGTGTGGGATAGGTGTGTAATAGGTGTGGAATAGGTGTGGGTGGGACAGGTGTGGGACAGGTGTGGGACAGGTGTGGGAAAGGTGTGGAACAGGTGTGGGACAGGTGTGGGATAGGTGTGGGATAGGTGTGGGACAGGTGTAGGGCGAGGTGTGGGGTGAGGTGATTGGGAAGGGAGCAAGATGGGTGCTACAACGAGCAAGGAAAAGGCAAGTCATATGGCACACTGCTTGCTAAGCACCCCACTGGGTACTGCAGCAGCGCCATGGCACTCTGTCTCCCTCACCCTCACCTTACCCCCCACCCCCCCCTGCCCCTTCCCCTTCCCCTCCCCTCCCCCATCCCCTTCCCCATCCCCTCCCCCATCCCCTCCCCCATCCCCTCCCCCACCTTATCCGCCACGCTCCGAACGAGGTCCTCGTACGAGTTGCTCTGGAAGTCATACGGCACCAGCGAGTACCCCACCAGGTACGGCAGCAGCGCCATGGCACTCAGTCTCCCAGACCTTATCCCCGCACCCTTTCTCCCGCCTGTCCCTCCCCCCTCCCCTCCCCCCTCCCCTCCCCCTCCCCTCCCCCCTCCCCTCCCCCCTCCCCTCCCCCCTCCCCTCCCCCCTCCCCTCCCCCACCTTGTCCGCCACGCTCCGAACGAGGTCCTCGTATGAGTTGCTCTGGAAGTCATACGGCACCAGCGAGTACCCCACCGGGTACGGGAGCAGCGCCATGGCTCGCTGAAACACCTCCACACAGAAGCCCGTGAAGTTGCCGTCTGGAGTGCGGTTCACGTACTGTGCCACGGTCTAGGGGGGGGCGGGGGGGGGGGAGGGGGGGATGTGGCGGATAAGGGGAAAAGGGTTGGTGGGAGGGAGAGGAAGAGGGGGTGAGGAAGGAGGGTCTTAATTGCGCACTGAAACACGTTCACACAGAAGCCCTTGAAGTTGCCGTATAGAGTGCGGTTCACGTACTGTGCCACGGTCTAAGGGGGGGGTTAGAAGGAGGGGAGGGAAGGAAGAGGGGGAGGGAAAAGGGCACAGGGGGGCGAATGGAGAGGGGTTGAGGGGGGGATCCACCGAAAGTTAAAAAAATAAAAGCAGCACCATGGCTCGCTGAAACACTTCCGTGCACAAGCCCGAGAAGTAGCCATCTGCAATGCGGTTCACATAGTGCGCAACGGTCTAAGTGGGGGGGGAGCGGGGGGAAAGGGGGGCGTATTTTTGAGGCGCCTAAAAAATAGACTCCATCTGCACTGCGGTTCACATAGCGCGCAACGGTCCAGGGGGGTGGAAGCGGGGGGAAAGGGGGGCAAAGAGTGGGAGGGAGGGGCAGAGAATGGGGACAGGGAGACAAGAGGGGAAGGGCAAGCGGGGGGAGGATTCAAACTGAAAAAAAAAGGAAAAAAAAAAGGAAAAAGAAAAAGAGGAGACAAGGTGACTTTTGAGGCGAAAGATGACCAAAGCTGAGAGCAAAAATGAGAGCAAAAATGAGAGCAAAGCTGAGAGAAAAAATGAGAGCAAAGCTGAGAGCAAATGAGAGCAAAGCTGAGCGCAAAGCTGAGAGCAAAGCTGAGAGCAAAGCTGAGAGCAAAGCTGAGAGCAAAGCTGAGCGCAAGGCTGAGGCGGTGGAGCTGAGGCGGCGTCGGCGAGGCGACTGATGACCTTATTTGAGAGCAGAGTCACAGTCCCCTCATCGGTTAAAGCACCGGGGAGAAGAGGAAGGGATAATGGGGAGAAGAGGAAGGGATAATGGGGAGAAGAGGAAGGGATAATGGGGAGAAGAGGAAGGGATAATGGGGAGAAGAGGAAGGGATAATGGGGAGAAGAGGAAGGGATAATGGGGAGAAGAGGAAGGGATAATGGGGAGAAGAGGAAGGGATAATGGGGAGAAGAGGAAGGGATAATGGGGAGAAGAGGAAGGGATAATGGGGAGAAGAGGAAGGGATAATGGGGAGAAGAGGAAGGGATAATGGGGAGAAGAGGAAGGGATAATGGGGAGAAGAGGAAGGGATAATGGGGAGAAGTGGATACAGACGAAACGGGCTTACGGCGGGGCCGAAGGGCACTGCAATGCGTAACGCCTTGCCTTTGGATGGTAACCAGCCCCGAGGAAACTGGGCGTGGGGGCAGAGTGAAAAAACAAGGGGCGGGGGGTAAAAAGGAGGGGAAAAGAGATGTGAATTGAAAAGGGAGGTCTTTCTGAGAATTCTTGGTTTTTTGAGTTGCAGGGCCTTATGAGAATTCTTTAGAAGACCCTCTGAAGCGACAAGGAAGGGGGGATGATTGCAGCAGCTGTTCCAACAAGGGGTGGAAAGGGGAATGCAAGTCCCGATTCTGGGGTGAGCGGCAGGGAAGGTGAGCGGCAGGGAAGGTGAGCGGCAGGGAAGGTGCTAGTCCTTTTGAGTCGGCTCAAAAGCCAGCTCGGGAATTACTTTTGAGTCGGCTCAAAAGGCAGCTCGGGAATGACTTTTGAGTCGGCTCAAAAGGCAGCTCGGGAATGACTTTTGAGTCGGCTCAAAAGGCAGCTCGGGAATGACTTTTGAGTCGGCTCAAAAGGCAGCTGGGGAATGCAAGTTCAGATTCTGAGGTGATCGACAGGGCAGGTGAGGAAATGCTAGTCCTGACGTGCCTTTGAGCCAAGCTAGAGTATTGACTATCTTTAGACTAGACTAGTGGAGGGTGTTACCAAAACTTTGGCATCATCATGGTACCTTGGAGGTGTTGCCGGGCCACACAGCAGGCTTGAGGGTGGAGTTGGACGAGTCATGCGACTGGCGATGAGTGGAAGGGTGGGGGAAGGCCCGGGTGGGGAAGACCCCAGTGGGGGAAGGCCCGGGTGGGGAAGGCCAGTGTGGGGAAGGGCCAGCGTACAAGCAGGGTGAGCACAAGGCCGGGAGAGAGCGAGAGAGAGGTGTCGGATAGAGCAGATGGGGGGGGAGCAGGGGGGGGGAGAACACAAAGTCTTATTTTGAGGCGCCTCAAAAAGAGAGAATGGGGGGTGGATGCGACGATAGAAAGGGAGGGAGCAGGGGAAAGGAGGGAGGACTCAGAGGCAGCACAGGTCGAGGTGCCTGTGGGAGCAGAAAACGTTGCAGCAACACCAAGTGGAGGTGGGAAACACCACTTGCAATAACAGGGTGTTTTTTTGGAATTCTCAAAAACACCCTGCAAAATCAGGATGAGGTGCCTGTGGGAGCAGAACTCGTTGCAGCAACGCCAGGTGAAAAACACCGCACATAACAACAGGCGCACAACAACAGGCGCACAACAACAGGCGCACAACAACAGGCGCATAACAACAGGCGCACAACAACAGGCGCACAACAACAGGCGCACAACAACAGGCGCACAACAACAGGCGCACAACAACAGGCGCACAACAACAGGCGCACAACAACAGGCGCACAACAACAGGCGCACAACAACAGGCGCACAACAACAGGCGCACAACAACAGGCGCACAGCAACAGGCGCACAGCAACAGGCGCACAGCAACAGGCGCACAGCAACAGGCGCACAGCAACAGGCGCACAGCAACAGGCGCACAGCAACAGGCGCACAGCAACAGGCGCACAGCAACAGGCGCACAGCAACAGGCGCACAGCAACAGGCGCACAGCAACAGGCGCACACCAACAGGCGCACAACAACAGGCGCACAACAACAGGCGCACAACAACAGGCGCACAACAACAGGCGCACAACAACAGGCGCACAACAGCAGGCGCACAACAGCAGGCGCACAACAGCAGGCGCACAACAACAGGCGCACAACAACAGGCGCACAACAACAGGCGCACAACAACAGGCGCACAACAACAGGCGCACAACAACAGGCGCACAGCAACAGGCGCACAACAACAGGCGCACAGCAACAGGCGCACAGCAACAGGCGCACAGCAACAGGCGCACAGCAACAGGCGCACAGCAACAGGCGCACAGCAACAGGCGCACAGCAACAGGCGCACAGCAACAGGCGCACAACAACAGGCGCACAGCAACAGGCGCACAGCAACAGGCGCACAGCAACAGGCACACAGCTACAGGCGCACAACAACAGGCGCACAACAACAGGCGCACAACAACAGGCGCACAACAACAGGCGCACAACAGCAGGCGCACAACAGCAGGCGCACAACAGCAGGCGCACAACAGCAGGCGCACAACAGCAGGCGCACAACAGCAGGCGCACAACAGCAGGCGCACAACAGCAGGCGCACAGCAGCAGGCGCACAACAGCAGGCGCACAACAGCAGGCGCACAACAGCAGGCGCACAACAGCAGGCGCACAACAGCAGGCGCACAACAACAGGCGCACAACAACAGGCGCACAACAACAGGCGCACAACAACAGGCGCACAACAACAGGCGCACAACAACAGGCGCACAACAACAGGCGCACAACAACAGGCGCACAACAACAGGCGCACAACAGCAGGCGCACAACAGCAGGCGCACAACAGCAGGCGCACAACAGCAGGCGCACAACAGCAGGCGCACAACAGCAGGCGCACAACAGCAGGCGCACAACAACAGGCGCACAACAACAGGCGCACAACAACAGGCGCACAACAACAGGCGCACAACAACAGGCGCACAACAACAGGCGCACAGCAACAGGCGCACAGCAACAGGCGCACAGCAAAAGGCGCACAGCAACAGGCGCACAACAGCAGGCGCACAACAGCAGGCGCACAACAGCAGGCGCACAACAGCAGGCGCACAACAGCAGGCGCACAACAGCAGGCGCACAACAGCAGGCGCACAACAGCAGGCGCACAACAGCAGGCGCACAACAACAGGCGCACAACAACAGGCGCACAACAACAGGCGCACAACAACAGGCGCACAACAACAGGCGCACAACAACAGGCGCACAACAACAGGCGCACAACAACAGGCGCACAACAACAGGCGCACAACAACAGGCGCACAGCAACAGGCGCACAACAACAGGCGCACAGCAACAGGCGCACAGCAACAGGCGCACAGCAACAGGCGCACAGCAACAGGCGCACAGCAACAGGCGCACAGCAACAGGCGCACAGCAACAGGCGCACAGCAACAGGCGCACAGCAACAGGCGCACAGCAACAGGCGCACAGCAACAGGCGCACAGCAACAGGCGCACAGCAACAGGCGCACAGCAACAGGCGCACAGCAACAGGCGCACAGCAACAGGCGCACAGCAACAGGCGCACAGCACAGGCCACAGCAACAGGCCCACAGCAACAGGCGCACAACAACAGGCGCACAACAACAGGCGCACAACAACAGGCGCACAACAACAGGCGCACAACAACAGGCGCACAACAGCAGGCGCACAACAACAGGCGCACAACAACAGGCGCACAACAACAGGCGCACAACAACAGGCGCACAACAACAGGCGCACAACAACAGGCGCACAACAGCAGGCGCACAGCAACAGGCGCACAGCAACAGGCGCACAACAACAGGCGCACAACAACAGGCGCACAACAACAGGCGCACAACAGCAGGCGCACAACACAAAGACATGAGGCGCACAACAAAGACATTAGGCGCACACACAAAGACATGAGGCGCACACACAAAGACATGAGGCGCACACACAAAGACATGAGGCGCACACACAAAGACATGAGGCGCACACACAAAGACATGAGGCGCACACACAAAGACATGAGGCGCACACACAAAGACATGAGGCGCACAACAAAGACATGAGGCGCACACACAAAGACATGAGGCGCACACACAAAGACATGAGGCGCACACACAAAGACATGAGGCGCACACACAAAGACATGAGGCGCACACACAAAGACATGAGGCGCACACACAAAGACATGAGGCGCACACACAAAGACATGAGGCGCACACACAAAGACATGAGGCGCACAACAAAGACATGAGGCGCACACACAAAGACATGAGGCGCACACACAAAGACATGAGGCGCACACACAAAGACATGAGGCACACACACAAAGACATGAGGCGCACACACAAAGACATGAGGCGCACAACAAAGACATGAGGCACACACACAAAGACATGAGGCGCACACACAAAGACATGAGGCGCACACACAGAGACATGAGGCGCACACACAAAGACATGAGGCGCACAACAAAGACATGAGGCGCGCACAACAAAGACATGAGGCACACACACAAAGACATGAGGCGCACAACAAAGACATGAGGCGCACACACAAAGACATGAGGCGCACACACAAAGACATGAGGCACGCACACAAAGACAAGAGGCGCACACACAAAGACATGAGGCGCGCACACAAAGACATGAGGCGCACACACAAAGACATGAGGCGCACACACAAAGACATGAGGCGCACACACAAAGACATGAGGCGCACACACAAAGACATGAGGCGCGCACACAAAGACATGAGGCGCGCACACAAAGACATGAGGCGCACACACAAAGACATGAGGCGCGCACACAAAGACGAGGACAGCTTCAGCCGCACCTGTAGGAATACCTGCATCCCTTTATATAAACTGCAATTCGAATCGATGGTAGCGTAGTTATTATTTCATCTTGTTTGTACAGCTTCGGCTCTTTCCCTTGCTTATTCAATTCTCTTCTCTCAACGTTCATCTCTCTCAACTTTCATCTCTCTCAACTTTCATGTCTCTCAACTTTCACCTCTCACAACTTTAACAGCACTCACTTCGAGAGCCACGAGGCCCTTGCCCTGCTCCCAGTAGCCCAGGGTCTCAAATTTGGACGCCAACAGATTGACCACCTCGTAGCTCACCCCAACGCGGTCATGGTTCTTGTCAAACGCAATGCTGGATGGGGCGCAGTGGAAAGGAGGAGAGGGGGCCAGGGAGGGAGGAGGAACGCAAGGCGCGGTGTGTGGTCATGGCACCAGCCACCAGATTGACCACCGCATAGCTCACCCCCACTCGTTTTTTGATTTTTTTATTTTCTTTTGAGTTCTCAAAAATGATTCCAGCCACCAGATTGACCACCTCGTAGCTCACCCCCACGCGGTCGTAGTTCTTGTCAAACGCAATGCTGGGTGGGGCTGCAGCGGGGAGAAGGAAGGAGAAAGGAAGTTGGGAAGGGGGGTGGGGGGGCGGGGGGGCAGGAGAGGGGAGGAGAAAGCAAGGGGGGGGAGGGGGGAGGGAGAGGGGAGGAGAAAGCAGGGGGGGGAGGGGGGAGGGAGAGGGGAGGAGAAGGCGCAGGTGGAGGGGGTGAGGAGGGATTTGATTATGGCAGCAGCTACTGGAAGCTGGACTCGTTGTAGTGCCAAACTGGCACAGCAGCAGCAGCTACAGGCAGCAGCTACAGGCAGCAGCTACAGACAGCAGCTACAGACAGCAGCTACAGACAGCAGCTACAGACAGCAGCTACTGACGGTTATAGCCTATATGGTTTCGTCTTCTTAGTGTGAGGAGGAGGGGGAGGAGGAGGAGCACTCCTTCGAAAGGGTCAGGAGCAGGAGGAGACTCACTTCCCAATTATTCCTTCCATTTGAGTCTTGGCAAGTGCCTCCAATAGCGTGATGCCACCTGTCAAGCCGGGATTTGAAGCCAAAATGCAACGAACAATAACAAAGAATGAGCCGAACGGCAGCATGCACCTCCTTGGCTTTGTGAGAGCACATCAAGAAGCAACGACAAGGCAAATAACTGACCAAGTATACAAGAACATTGCAGGGGGCAAGCTGGTAGCTGCTGCCCCCAGCAGAGGGCAGCAGTGGGCGCCCTTTGATACTCGGCTCTAGGGCTTCAAGATACTTTTTGAGTAGATGAAGCGACAACTTTGGTGACGTTGGTGCGTCAGAAGTCGGTGCTGCCGCCCCCATCAGAGGGCAGCAGTGGGCGCCCTTTGTTATGCAGCTCAGGGTTTTGCAGGTCGTTTCATGTTGACTGGGAGCCACCTTTGCTGGCGCCACCATTGCTGGCGTCACCATTGCTGGCGTCACCATTGCTGGCGTCACCTTTGCTGGCGCCACCTTTGCTGGCGTCACCTTTGCTGGCGCCACCTTAGCTGGCGTCACCTTTGCTGGCGCCACCTTTGCTGGCGTCACCTTTGCTGGCGCCACCTTAGCTGGCGTTGAGCCCTGAGAAGTCGGTGCTGCTGCCCGCATCAGAGGGCAGCAGTGAGCGACCTTTGATACTCGGCTCTATGGCTTTAAAAGTCTTCTTATGCTGACTAAGTGTCACCTCTGCTGACGTTGAGGCGTGCGAAATCGGTGCTGCCGCCCGCATCAGGGGGCAGCAGTGGGCGTCCATTGATACACGGCTCTAGGGTTTAACAGGTCTCTTTCAGTTGACTAAGATTCACCTCTGCTGACGTTGAGGCGTGCGAAGTCAGTGCTGCCGCCCGCATCAGAGGGCAGCGGTGAGCGCGGCGGGCGGAAGGGGAACCTGGCTCCTGGGATGTGGGAGAGGTTGTGGAGCGCACGGGCCGCCACCCACATAGCATCATACCCTAGCAGCGCGTAGGGGGAGACCTGATGGGGGTGGTGGTGGGGACAGAGAGCAATGTGTAGGTGGAGTGGGCGAACAGGAAAGCTGGCTCCTGGCAGGTAGCATGCAAAGTGTTGTTTCGAGTAGTCTCAAAACGGGATTAGATTAGGAAACAGTAGATAAGTTGGTGGGTGTACGCACGCACAGTGTCAGTGGCGGCACCAGGATACTTCTTGGGGTCCAGCGCCTTCCAACTGCGCCTGAACTCCTGCAGGCGCGGGTTGTCTCGGATGGCCACACGCGTGCCCATCATGCCCTGATGCCCGTCCAGTGGAGGGGGGGGGCAGGGGGGAGGGACGGGGCAGCAGGGGGGAGGGACGGGACGGCAGGGAGGGTTGTTGAGTGGGAAGGGCTCTCCCTGTGCTCAAAGCAGATGCGTACAGCAAGAGCACTGCTCAAAACGATCGATACACACAGTGGGAGGACAGCTCAACACAATGGGCACGCACAGTGGGAGGACTGCTTAACGCAATTGATGCGTACAGTGAGAGCAATGAAGTAGGCAGAGTTGACATCAACCCCCACGAGGTGCTTTTGAGCCGATTCAAGAGTGCGATCGATACATACAGTGGGAGGATCGCTCGACAAAATTGACACACAAAGTGAGAGCGCTGAGGTAGGTGGAGTTGACATCAGCCCCCATGAGTGAAAGTGTGAAGCCCCACAGGATTAGACTCCCTACACACACTAAAAGCACCGCTCTTGAATGATAGACACAGTGAGAGTGCTGAGGTAGGTGGAGTTGATATCAGCCCCCATGAGGTGCTTTTGAGCCATTTCAAGAGCGCGATAGATGCATACGGTGAGAGCACACAGTGAGAGAACTGCTCAACGCAACTGACACGCACAGTGAGAGAACTGCTCAACGCAACTGACACGCACTGTGAGAGAACTGCTCAACGCAACTGACACGCACAGTGAGAGAACTGCTCAACGCAACTGACACGCACAGTGAGAGAACTGCTCAACGCAACTGACACGCACTGTGAGAGAACTGCTCAACGCAACTGACACGCACAGTGAGAGCGCTGAGGTAAGTGGAGCTGACATCAGCCCCCATGAGTGAAAGTTTGAAGCCCCACAGGACTGGACTCCTTACACGCACTAAAAACACTGCTCAACGCAAATTGCTGCATACAGTGAGAGTGCTGAGGTAGGTGGAGTTGACGTCAGCCCCCATGAGGTGCGAGATGGAGCCCTCCGTTGATATCCACACGTACCCCTCGCTCATCAGCCCCATGCGCTGGGCTGCAAACAGGGAGAAGGTTGGGGGTGAAGGGGAGGGTGGGTGGGGGAAGGGGGAGGGTAGAAGAGGGGGGACAGGGGGGAGTGGGGGGCACATTGGAGAAGAGGGAGGGGAATGGGATGGGAGAGATGGCGTCTCCGTTGATACCCACACGTTCCCCTCGCTCATCAGCCCCATGCGCCCATCAGCCCCATGCGCTCATCAGCCCCATGCGCCCATCTAAGTGGAGAAATACGCTCGTGCAGCCAAGCGTATCGCGTATGTACGCTGGCGTATATACGCGATACGCAGTACGCTAAGGTAGTACGCAATACGCAAGCGTATTTCTCGGCGGTCTGCCCGGCGAGAAATACGAAAAAACAAAAAAAAAATATATATATATATATATATATATATATATACATATACCAAGGGGAGTTTAAGCAAACCCACTATGTGACCAATGCCCCTCCTCCCTCACAGCCCCTCGTCATCACCCTCAATACACACCTCCCCTGACCCCCCACCCTGATGTGCCATTGGGAGTTTGGCGTCTGCGTGCTGCGTCATCCATGACTTGATAGTCATGGATGCGCGCACCTGAGCAGGGCTCAACCGATGACGCTGCCAGCTGACAATGTTTCGGCCCTGGCTAAACGCCCGCTCACTCGGTGCCGAGGTTGCAGGGATGGCAAGGTAATCGCGAGCCATGGCTTGCAGCCCCCGGCAGCGAGGTGCGCGAGCGCCACCATGTGAGAGGGCATTTGTCCATGGCCAGCCTCTGCTCACCCAGATACCTCTCCACCTCATCCACCTCCTGCACACCCGCCTCCTCATCCATCAGGTCCATCTGCGAGCCAAGCAAGTCCGTCAAGCGCCCCCCAGTGGCCCTCCTGTCACCCTCCTGTCCGAGCCTACTCTCCCCCTCCCCACTCGTAATGCCAGAATTCGTGCCCTCGTGCCCTGTGCCCACGGCTCGGCGGCGCTGCTCGTCTAGGTACGACTGGAGGCGAGAGCGCACCAACGCCTTGACATCCGCCTCGCTCACATCCTTGACTACCCTAGGTCCATCAGCAACCGCCGCCACCAGTGTCGGGTTCGCCCCCTCCCACCTCTTCAGCTTGAAGTATGCGTTCTTGAACCGAGGGTCCAAGAACGTCGCCACAGCTAACTCGTCACTAATTCCATACAAATACTTCTTCAGGACCACCAGCCCCTCCCTGTCCATCTCCTTGCGCAGCGCGTTGGTGCTCGGGTTGTGGAACGAGGCCTCGAGGGTATCTATGAGGAGGTTAAACTGTGGCACCACCGCAGCGGCCGTGGGGTACAAGGACCCCTCTGCCGCCGTGGTGATGTCATTGAATGGTTTCAGGAACTCGGCCAGAACCTCAGCTACCTCCCAGTGCGCATCCCCCAGCTTGCACCGGGCCGCCTGCACCTGTGCCCGCCTGGGAACACCAACCTGTGGGGTGCGGGCGGAAGGGTGGCCGGGAGGGGTACAATGGGGCGAGGATGTGAGGAAATCAGCAACACCATGCAGATAGAGGACTACAATTGAACCGGGAAAGAGCTTGGACTGTGGAACGATACGAATGATGGGGAAATGGTAAAGTCAAGTACCTCAGGCCGGGAGAAGAAGAGTGTGAGCGCTGGTTTCAGCTTCAGTGCGCGGGCAACCATCTCGTAAGACGACCCCCAGCGAGTGGGGGTGTCATTGACCAATCGGAGAACCGGGGTGCCGGGCGGGAACACAAGCGCCTGCTCCGCCTCAAACATGGGGGACCTGGTAGATGACCAGCCAATGTAAGACGCGAGCTCCCTCATGCGGCGGAGTGGCTCTGCCACTGCTGGCAACCCCAGAGCCCGCTGCACTGCAAGGTTTAGGATGTGCGCCAGACACCTTGGGGTGGGTCGGGGGGGGAGTTGTTTGGGGTGGGAAGATAGGTATAAACCCATACCATGGTGCACATGTGGCATGTCATGCCATGGTGCACATGTGGCATGCCATGCCATGGTGCACATGTGGCATGTCATGCCATGGTGCACATGTGGCATGCCATGCCATGGTGCACATGTGGCATGCCATGCCATGGTGCACATGTGGCATGCCATGCCATGGTGCACATGTGGCATGCCATGCCATGGTGCACATGTGGCATGCCATGCCATGGTGCACATGTGGCATGCCATGCCATGGTGCACATGTGGCATGTCATGCCATGGTGCACATGTGGCATGTCATGCCATGGTGCACATGTGGCATGCCATGCCATGCTGGACATGTGGACATGTGACAATGACATGCCATGCCATGGTGCACATGTGGACATGTGGCATGCCATGCCATGCCATGCTACGGCGACCCACCTGAAGAAGAATCGAGGGTTGATGACGGCGACAGCCCGCGCCTCGGGGGTGTTAGGATCGGCAGTGAGGATCTTCAGGGCCTTCACGTTGTTCTCGGCATTGTCCGTCGTGATGCCGAGCACGTGGTCATTCAGGCCCCAGTCTGCAATGATCCGCTCCAAGGTTTCTGCAATCATCACGCCAGTGTGGGACCCCTGCAGCTCCTCGAACTCCAGCAGCGCCACTCGCAGCTGGAAGTCCGAAGTGATCCAGTGGGCTGTGACGGCCATGAACGAATCCTGGGCAGGGCTAGACCAAATGTCTGTGGTCAGTGACACCTTCCCCGCTGCCCCGTCCCCGATGATCTCCTGGTGCAGCTGCTCGCGCGCACCCTCCCCAGTCAGTAGCATGTCACGGGCCAGGCGGAAACGAGAGCCTAGCAGTTCTGCGGCCGGCGGGTTCAGGAGTGCAGTATATCGACGGAACTGTGGGGTGGGGCGGGATGGGGTTAAGGGCAGGTACACGCGGATGAGGAACCCCGAGTCTCTGTCGTAGGCATGGAGTCAGCGCACACGACGGATGACGATATGACTAGGCACAAAGGGCTGGTAAGCACCACCAAGTGTTATGACTCACCGAGGGCCGGTCGACGAGGCGGAAGGGCAGGCATGCGTCGGCGAACAGCTCAACCAACGCCTGCCGGAGAAGCTCCTGGGACACCCGCCGCGTGAAGAACTGGCCGATGACGCGCTGCCCACGCTCGGCCGTGGGTGTCCCGGTGCCCTCACGTAACCCCGGGATGTTAGGATACGCCGCCACATGCTCCCACGGCTCGGGCCCATCCGGAGCACCCGTGTATCCGCCGGGGGGGAACTCAAGGCCCAGCTTCTTGTCCGGGGCTGTAAACTCGCGATGCCATATCTGGAGATGAGGCATGTGCTTCGCTCGCACATGCTTCCATCCGGTCGACGTACTGCTCCGGTCCCAGTAGAACTCCTCCTCGCATACCTTACAGACACGCGAGGCATCACCCTCCTCCGGCTCATAAAACATCCCCTGCATCAAGCCAGGAATGGTACCCCAGTAGCCTGGAACAGGTTCGCCATCCTCCCCACCCGCGTCCGCTTCACCCGCCCTGCACCGGTCCCTGCAGCCCCTCCCCCGCGCCCGGTTGCGCCCGCCCGACGGGGAGTCGCCCCAACACCCCCATCTCGGGCATCCTCCGCAGCTACCATTTCACGTCCCTCTGCACTCCGCCCAAGACCCCTTGCGGCCCCTCTGGGACGGCCGCGCGCAGCACGCCGCCCTGCTCCCGCACCCCCCCCTGAACCGCCATTGCCCGGCCCTTAGGACGCCCTTGGGGTCGGCCCCCCTGGTTTGCGGCTCTCGGGCGACCCACCGCCTGCGTGGCAGGGGATGCATCCTCTCCTGAAAGATCCACCACGTCGTCGGCACCCGGCTGCCAATCCTGATCACCACCACCACTGGGACGCTGCCCAACCCGCTGCCCTCCGCCCCCACCTGGCAGAGCGCCTCCCTCACCGGGCTCCACCGCTTGCACGTTCCCCTCCTCTCCGACCCCACGAACTCCACTCCCCAGAGCAAAGCTCTGGTCCTGTGCGGGTACAGGGAGACCTCCAAGGGAGGCGCCTTGTATGCGATTGCTGGACTGCACTCCCCCCTCCTCAGCCGTGGCGACTCCTCCTTCGGCGGCCAGATCCTGGTCAGCCATAGAAACCCCGTCCCAACTGTCGTACAGTAGCACCATGACCGAACTGTCCGTCAATCCCTAAACGCGATTTCAGTGTATTCTACGCTCTAACTGTAAGTGGGGGTGACGAAACCCTAAAACGGACGGCTAGGCAGCTAAAATCGCCAAGGTGTAGCCCTTGTCTTCTACACTACCCTAGGATTCGTTAAAAATTGAAGCGGTTTGTAGTAGACCCGCTGCGGAATGCTCCTACGTGCACGTTAGGGTAGGCTTAGGTTGAACGAAACTGAGAAACAAAATAGTCGCGGGAAATTTTGACCCTATGGTCGAAATTTCCCAACCACCGCGAAACTTGACGTGCTGGTTGCCGTCGGGTAATTTTGTGACCCGATATCGGGTCGGGTACCCGCGACCCGATCTCGGGTAATAAACCCGATGTCGGGTAATGCATCCACTACCCCGCGGGTAATAAATTACCCGACATTTCGGGTAATTTCCGGGTAGCGGGTATGCATTACCCGGCGCTATTACCCGACCCGACCCGGCCGGGTAATTTGTCAGAATCCTATTACCCGACCCGGCCAAAATGTCGGGTCGGGTCGGGTACCCGCGACCCGACCGGGTAAAATGCTCAAGTCTATATATATATATATATATATATATATATATATATATATATATATATATATATATATCGCAAGTCGCGACTTGGCGAATCAAGGCAGAAATTTCGTTGAAGTCGCAAACTCGACTAAGGTCTTTCAATTCGACATCCCAACCCCTCCCCCCCTCCCAACCCCACAGTATCCCACCCAAACTACAACTCCCAACCAACACCCACCCAAACCAACCCCTCCCCCCATCCCAACCGCACAGTATCCCACCACCCAATCTACTGTTGGAGATAGGCTGCAGTTCGGTTGGCACAACTTTGTGTGTTAGTAATTTGTTGGTTTTAGGGTTCGGCATATTTGTTAGGTTGGGTGTAGCCTTGTTTTCATCCCCAACCTATCCCAACCCAATCCATCCCAAGTCCCCACGATTTGGGATGATTCCCTTGGGATTCCCTCCGATTCTCCCTTATCCCTTCCCATCCTCTCCGATGCTCGGTACTTAAGGATGTATGCTCTTGCTCATTCAATTAATCAAGTTCTCAGTTTCTAACATCTACAACTCCCAACCAACACCCTCAATCCCCCCCCTATCCCCCTCTCAACCGCACAGCATCCCACCCAATCTACAACTTCCAACCAACTCCCACCCACACCCCCTCCTCGTCCCCTCCCAACCGCACAGCGTCCCACCCAATCTACAATTTCCAACCTACACCCACCCAATCTCTATCGTCCCTCTCTCTACTCTAAGAATCTCACATCGCGTTTCACTACTATGCTTACGACGAATCCAGCCAGTGCAAATCTCTCCCTAGTCTAGCGCGGCTAAGTTGCGATATATCTCCCCCTCCCCCCCCCCCAAAACAGAGTTTTTTTAACCCCTGCCCGAACTTTTTGGCCTGCCCGCCCAAGCGTATTTCCTGCCGTTTGTAAAACTAGAATCAAGCGTACACCGTATGTACTCTAGTGTATATACAGAATCGTATAATACGCCGCACGCGTATTTCTCCACTTAGGCACCCATCAGCCCCATGCGCCCATCAGCCCCATGCGCCCATCAGCCCCATGCGCCCATCAGCCCCATGCGGTCAGCTCAGCAGTACCTTCTTCGAAGAGGAAGAGCACGTTGGTTGAGGCCACGTGGACGACGAAGACGGACGTCTCGGAGGACTGCATGGCGCGCAGCAGCTGCTTGATGCCCTCTTGGGAGGCGCGCGGGTCCAGAGCCACCTTGTTGGAGAACTGCAGCGGCAGCTGCTGGGACTGGGGCACGGTGGGGGAGGCGTAGGATGGACATACAAGGGAAAGGGTTTGAGATGTGGACGGTGGGGAGGCACGCGGGTCCAATGGCACCTTGTTGGAGAACTGCAGCGGCAGCTGTTGGGACTGGCAGTGCGCGGGGCAGGGATGGGGCAGGGATGGGGCAGGGATGGGGCAGGGATGGGGGTTGGACAGAGATGGAAACGGGTAGGGGTACCGATGGTGAGAGGCCTGCGGGTCCAGAGCCACCTTGTTGGAGAACTGCAGCGGCAGCTGCTGGGACTGTTGTGGCACGGGGCAGGGTTGGGCGGGGATGGGGGCTGGACAGAGATGGAAACGGGATAGGGGTACCGATGGTGAGAGGCACACGCGCCCAGAGGAACCGTGTTGGAGAACTGCAGCGGCAGCTGCTGGGACTGGCAGTGCGCGGGGAGGGATGGGGAAACAAGTGGGATGGACAGGCATGGGAAAGGGATGGTTACATTGATGCCCTCTTGGGAGGCCCGCGGGTCCAGAGGCACCTTGTTGGAGAACTGCAGGGGCAGCTGCTGGGACTGGCAGTGCGTGCAGGGGAGGGCCAGGGAGGGGCAGGGGAGGGGCAGGGATGGGGCAGGGATGGGGCATGGATGGGGCAGGGATGGGGCAGGGATGGGGCAGGGATTGGGCAGGGATGGGGCAGGGATGGGCCAGGGATGGGCAGGGGATGGGCAGGGGAGGGCAGGGACGGGCAGGGATGGGCAGGGATGGGCAGGGATGGGCAGGGGATGGGCAGGGATGGGCAGGGATAGGCAGGAGCAGAACGGGCATAAAAGGGAAAGGGATGAGGATATGGTAGATGGGGAGGGGCATGCGGGAGCAGAGGCACCTGGGTGGGAACTGCAGGGGGGTGCTGGGAGGACTGGCAGGAGGGGCAGGGAAAGCACGGACATCGAAGAGAAAGGGATGGGAGTAGTAAGGCATGGGGAGGCGCGCGGGTGCAGCAGCGGGCATCTGCTAGGACTGGAGGAGAAAGGGCAGGGGTGAATGGGATGGACTTCAAAAAAAAGGGATGGGAGGCGTGCGGGTTCAGGGGTGCCTTGTTGGGAACCACAGCGAGAACTGCTGGGACTGGCAGTGTGCGGGGAGGGATGCGGACAGGTGTGGTGGGGATGAGGGACGGAGAGAGGGCGAGTGGAGAAGCATGCCACCGAGGTGATACCATGCCAAGGAGCCATGCCATGCCATGCCATGCCATGCCATGCCATGCCATACCATGCCACGCCATGCCATGCCATGACATACCACGTGATACTATGAGAATGCTGGTGACGGAGTCCATCCCATTGTACCCAAACTCCACTCATTACCATTGCCGTGCCATACCATGCCATGCATGCATTAGCATGCTACCTTGGCCATGAGGATGTTGGTGTGGGAGTCCATCCCGGTGTGCCAAACTCCACTCAATGCCACGCCATGCCACGCCATGCCATGCCATGCCATACCATGTCATTTCAACACACTCGATACCCAACAGCATGCCACCTTGGCCATGAGGACGATGGTGAGCTAGTCCATGCTGTTGTGCCCAAACTCCACTCAACAACCAGTGCCATGCCATCCCATGCCGTACCATACCACGCCGTGCCATACCATGCCATGCCATATCATGCCATGCCATACCATACCATGCCATGCCATGCCATCCAATCCCATGCCATGCCATGCCGTGCATGCAAGTGCATGCTACCTTGGCCATGAGGATGTTGGTCAGAGAGTCCATGCCATTGTGCCCAAACTCGTCGTCTGAGAAGATCATGATGGCCTGGTGCCAGTCGTAGTACTCCAACAGGTTCTGAAGGGAGGGAGGGAGCGAGGAGGGAAGGGAGAGAGGAGGGCAGCCATAGTCGAGAAGATCATGATGGCCTGGTGCCAGTCGTAGTACTCCAACAGGTCTGTGGCCGGTTTTGGGGGGGGAGGGAAGGGGGGGGGGGGGATGAAGGGGAGGGTTGGGTGGTCGGTTTGGGGGGTTGGCAGTTCCAGTACTCAAGTAGGTTTAAGGGGAAGGAGGGAGGAGGGGAGGGAGGTTTAGAGGAGGGAGGAGAAGGGGAGAGCAGGGGACGAATGAGGGGTCATGAAAGGTTGAGACTGGTAGCATCATTCCACCATCATATAGAGCAAGCTGCACCTCATGCCGCCTCCATCCCACCAGCAACCGCCTCCATCCCCATCCGGTCGCATTGGCTCCGAGCCACGGAAACAGCAGCATCACCACAGCCCATCATCCATCCAACATCCTGCCATCATCCTGCTATCCGCCCATCATCCATCCACCCATCACCCCATCCGCTCTCACCAGCCATCACCTCCATCTCCATCTGGGCCGCTGTGGCTCAGCACACAACAACTCATCTCATGTCAACCCGACACCCCACCACCCCCCCATCCGCGCTCACCAGCCACCACCTCCATCTCCATCTGGTCGCTGTGGCTCAGGCGCACAAAGAACGGGAACTGGCCCTTGGACGAGAACGTGGGGTCCGTTGCCGAGTAGCTCAGCATGGGCACCTGGAGGGGGAGAGGGAAGTGCGAGTGACCACAAACAGGTGTGTAGATGCTGCAGTTTGATAAGTGTCAGGATGCAAACAAGGGGAACTGGCCCTTGGACGAGAACGTGGGTTCCATGGCGGAATAGCTCAGCCAGGGCGCCTAGAGAGGGGGGGAGGGGAGATGAACAGAGAGAAGGCACCCGGCTGGCTGCTCAGCAACTGGTGCAGAATAAGCGACATGCCTACCTGCCTGCTACCCGCCCGCCCGCCCGCTCGCTCGCCCGCGCCGCCCGCCTGCCTGCCTGCCTGCCAGCACACCAGTGAGATGACATGACACGACACTACAGTGTAACTTCTATCACCTCGAATTTCAAAACATATATCGCTTCGTACTGGTATACCTGGTAGTCTCGGCACAGGTCGATGATGCTGTGCGCCTGCGAGGGAGAACTGCGGCCCCACCAGCAGCAGGGCGTTGTCGGCAGCACCTCCAGGGCTGAGGGGGGAATAGGAGGGCGCACAGCACAGAGCGATACCAAGGAAACGAGGCAAGTTTTGAGTTGAGACGTGTCAGAATGGAAACAGCGGGGGGCACCGGGTCAATGATGCTGTTGTGCCGGGAGGAGAATTGCAGCCTGAGGCGCCACCAGCAGCAGGGCGTTGTCGAGCAGCACCTCCAGGGTTGAGGGGGGGATAGCGAGGGCGCACAGCACAGGGCGTTACAGTGGAACAAGGCAGGGAGTGTAGTTTTGAGGCGCCTCAAATTGTTACAGTGGAAAGAGCAGGGAGTGTAGTTTTGAGGCGCCTCAAAACCGTTACAGTGGAAACAAGGCAGGGAGTGGAATGGAAACGCAGGGGGGCACACAGGTCGATGATGCTGTGCGCCTGGGAGGAAAATGCGGCCCAACAAGCAGCAGGGCGTTGTCGAGCAGCACCTCCAGGGCTGAGGGGGGAATAGTAGGGCACGGCACAGCACCAGGGAGTTACAGCGGAACAAGGCAGTGGAATGGAAACACGGGGGGCAGGGATCAATAATGCTGTGCGCCGGCGAGGAGAATTGCGGCCCACCAGCAGCAGCAGGGCTTTGTCGAGCATCACCTCCACAGCTGATGGATGGATAGCAGGGCACAGGAGGGTACAGGAGGAAAAAGGCGGCCAGGAGGGCACAGGAGGGACAGGAGGGCAACCAGGGCACAGGAGGACACAGGGAGGGCACAGGAGGGCACAGGAGGGCACAGGAGGGCACACCAGGGCACAGGAGGACACACGAGGGCACAGGAGGGCACACCAGGGCACAGGAGGCACACGAGGGCACAGGAGGGCACACAGGGCACAGGAGGACACACGAGGCACAGAGGCACACCAGGGCACAGGAGACACAGGGGCACAGGAGGCACCCAGGCACAGGAGGGCACACCAGGGCACAGGAGGCACACCAGGGCACAGGAGGGCACACGAGGCACACCAGGGCACACCAGGGCACAGGAGGACACACGAGGGACAGAGGGCACACCAGGGCACAGGAGGACACAGGGGGCACAGGAGGCACACCAGGGCACAGGAGGGCACACCAGGGCCAGGAGGGCACACCAGGGCCCAGGAGGACACAGGAGGGCACAGGAGGGCACACCAGGGCACAGGAGGGCACACGAGGGCACAGGAGGGACACCAGGCACAGGAGGACACGAGGGCACACCAGGGCACACCAGGGCACAGGAGGACACACGGAGGGCACAGGGAGGGCACACCAGGGCACAGGAGGACACACGAGGCACACCAGGGCACACCAGGGCACAGGAGGACAAAGGTGGCACAGGAGGGCACAGGAGGCACAGGAGGGCACAGGAGGGCACAGGAGGGCACAGGAGGCACAGGAGGGCACAAGAGGGCACAGGAGGGCACAGGAGGGCACAGGAGGGCACAGGAGGGCACAGGAGGGCACACGAGGGCACACGAGGCACAGGAGGGCACAGGAGGGCACAGGAGGGCACAGGAGGGCACAAGAGGAAAAAGCGGGCACAGGAGGCACAGGCGGGCACAGGAGGAGGTGACTTTTGAGTCGACTCAAAAGTCACCTCGTTACTTTGTCACACGACACTTTCGCTTCAAGGAGAGCTATTATCGGTGGAGACTGCCGAAGAGAATCGGAAGCTTTTTAGTTTCTGCTCATAAGTGCTAATCTACAGTAGAGTTTTACTGTTTGTGCTTATTTCGTTTTTTGCGTCCCCATTTTCCCCGCGACGTTTTTCCCGCGCGAGGCGAATCTTGGGCGACATCTTTTCGACGTATAAGTAGTGCTTGTTTTTCTTTAGGACTCTGTGGTCTGAAGAAGGCTTCAAGCCGAAACCGGTTACCACCTATTTTTAATTCCAAGATTTTGTTTTTACAAGCACTCTACATTTTACACAGGTGTCATCACACAAGTTGCTGCCACGTATTGACACAATGGCACCTATCTGGTGTTCGATTGGACTCAAACCTGATACTACTACGATGGCCAACTACCAATTCAATGCTACCAATGCAACCGACACTGACACCAACACCAATATCACCAAGTCTAACCAGTTCCGTCGATCCGCACGAATCTCGAGGATTCAAAGCCCGAGGCGTCTTCGTAAGGATAAAGAGCTAGTGGATTTCGAAGATTTACTAGAGTCTCCAATTTCTCGCTCCAACAAGAAGAGAGCTCGGGATTTTCCTCTCGAACCTCTTCCAGGGACAGTCGACGCTCCTGCAGCTCGATCTTCTCCTGAGCCTGCCACCAGGCCTACGATTGAAACTGCGATCATGGCTGCGCCGATGCAAGATCCTGTTCGCGAGATTCATGACGTTGTCATGACTGACTCCTTCGATTTTCTTGGTGATCTTCATAACGATTTTCTTGACAAGCAGGCGACTCCCTCTTGTCTCAATGACTTTAAGCCGCTAAGGACTTTAAGAAGAGTTTTTTGAAGTACCGGACTTTGCACCAGCAATATATCTTCATGGCTGAGCAGAAGACCAACGGGATTATTCCTCACAGCATCAGGATCAAACCTTTTGGTTTCATTTGCAACTCTGAAGAACTCCGTCAGGAGGCTGACAAGGACCTGGTCGCGGCCTGTGATACGTACTGCAAAGCAGCCCAAGACATTCTTATCTCCATGAAAAAGAAAGCCGCCGATGAAGCTCGTAACGAAGCAGTGGCCGTTTTTCAGCGGCTGCAGGATCAAATTACGAGCTACATTAATCTGGCTAAGAAGACCGACATCGGCACCAAAAATTCAAAGCTGACGAAGCACCTGAACTATTTCAAGGATCGGGTGATCGCTGAATTTAAGGAATCGATGTCTATTTTGTCATGGACGCTAACCTCTCTGAAGTGCATCTTAAGGAGAAGAAGAAAGAAGTCGACGAAAAGAAGGCTGCCGCGGTGGAGGAAGCAGAGAATCTCCCCGTCGACGATTCTGTTCGGAAGATCGCTAAGCAAGAAGTCGAGAAGGCTTTGTCCAAACGGTCTGACGGCAAGAAGAAGCAGCAGTATGGTAAACGCGAAAAGAAGACTCAGGGGGGTTTTAATGTCAACCGTAGCGCTGCCGCTAAGAAGAAGAACCAGCCCCGGAAGGGTAAAGGCAACAGCAACGGCAACAACAAAGGGAATATGAAGAAGAATAATACTGGTCCCCGGAAGAACGCTGACAACGCGACGACGCATGCGACCCAGACTATGGGACGCTCCTTCGCGAAGACAGCGAGACGTAACGCCTCTCGTCAGCAGCCGCGCAATTCTGCACCGGCAAAAAACGGGGGAGGTTCCGGCCGCGGAAAAACGAAGCAGCAGTAGTGGACGATGTCCACGCATACGCGCTGATCCTCTTTGGGAGGAAGACCGAGAGTCAGCTGCGCTGCAGAGTTACCAACCGTGGCTTCCATAACTTCAGTGACCATGTCTTCACCCGTGATGAGTTACAACTGCTTAGTTTAGGACTCAAGTTCATACCAAACCCACCCATTCGCACCATTTCTAGTTTCGATACCGAGCTGCAGGCTTTCATGAGCAGTGTTCGTACGATGTATCTTTTTGGAGGAGCTGATATTGTTTCTGATTATCCACGTTATAAACTTCCCAGACGAGTTAACTGGATCCCACCTCCGACTTCTTCCGAGATCGAGACGGCCCTAGCGGTTTTCAGAGACTCGGTCGTCAGAAGCGTTGCTGATCAGACTTTTCGCTCCAGAATCCGGAAAAGCGTCTTCCCTACACTCCGACGGCTTGCTTCCAATCCGAATCTTATTTTCAAACCTGCAGATAAAAATCTCGGCTTGACAGTGATGAGTAAAGACTTCTATCAAGAGAAATGTCTACAGCATCTTTTGAATCCGAAAGTCTACAGAGAATATTCTGCTGTGCCCGTCGACGACATCGTGCACGAACTCCGCGCAATTCACGAGGATTTTTACCCCCTACTTTCCAAGAAGATATGGATTTCTTTCTATAAAGCTCCTAAGAACGGATGGAAGATTCCGGCGTTCTATGTCTTTTTGAAGATCCATAAGAAAATCCCAGTTGGTCGTCCTATTGCGGCATCTCATTCCTGGGTGACGTCGAATGTTTCACGCTGGCTGGATGCAGTACTTCGACCTTTGGTACTACAGCAGTCCACTTATGTCAAAGACTCACAGAGTCTGGTACTACAGCTTGAGCAACGGCGTTTTTCTAACAATCTTCTTCTCGCATCCTACGACGTGGAATCTTTATATCCGTCGATTCCCCTGCTCGATGGGATTGATGCAGTTTCCTATTTTCTTCAAAGGGCTAGACATCCACTAGCTCCACTGATTATTCGCCTGCTGAAGTGGGTGATGTTTAACAGCTATGTTTCTTTCAACGGGAGATTTTTCCGCCAAATCCACGGAACCGCTATGGGACTTCAGTCGCAGTTTGCTTCTCGGTCCTTTTCATGAGTTTCTTGGATATTCAGCTGCACCGTTCGATCCCTTCTTCCCCCGCTCTACACCTCCGTTTTATCGACGACGGTCTGATTTTGTGGGATGGGTCTAAGGAAGATTTTCAACGGCTAAAAGCGCGTTTCGACACACTTCATCTTTCAATTCGCCTGACATGGGTGTTGTCTGAAACATCGATGGATTTCCTGGACGTTACTTTCTTCAAAGGAGAACGTTTCACGAACTCCGGGGTTTTGGATGTCAAGCTGTTTCAGAAGCCGATGAATCGGTATCTGTACTTACCCTTCAAGTCTTATCATTCCCGGACTACCAAACTTGGTTTCATCTGGAGCGAACTGCACAGATTCCTACTGCGGTCTTCATCACGGGCTGACTTCCTGCATTCTAGGGCCCTTTTCTTCGCTCGACTAAGAGCCAGAGGGTATCGTGAGAAATTTCTGCTACCAATCTTCAAGTCAGTCTCTTTCGCCTCTCGCAACGAACTTCTCGCTCGCGCCTCTTCAATTCGCGACTCTCCTAAACGTGGGCCCCTCGTGTTGAAATGTTTGCTCAACCCTCTGGTTGACCGTTCACACTTGGGGAAACTTTTGAGTCGACTCAAAAGTCACCTCGTTACTTTGTCACACGACACTTTCGCTTCAAGGAGAGCTATTATCGCGTGGAGACTGCCGAAGAGAATCGGAAGCTTTTTAGTTTCTGCCCTCTTGTGCCTGAATCTGGCTACTTACCTGATGCCTGTGCCTGGAGCGATTGGTAAGGGGAAGGAACATCAGCCGATGAAGGACAGTCCCCTTGTCAAGGGCTCAGTACCTGCGGCCTGTGCCTGGGGTCTTTTGAGTCGACTCAAAAGTCACGGCGTGAGCATCAATTCGTCAGGGGAACAAACATCAGCCAATGAAGGGCAATCCCCTTGTCAAGGGCTCGGTACCTGCGGCCCGTGCCTGGAACCGCGTGCTGGCCGCGTTTCCAAACGCCAGCTTCAGACTGCCAAGAGCTGGCATTGATCTTTCATTGATAAGCATCCCTCTGACAACGGCTACTTACCTGTGGCCTGTGCCTGGAACCGCGTGCTGGCCGCGTTTCCAAACGCCAGCTTCAATGGATAGGGGAAAGAGAGAGATGGGTCCGCCAGCACCTCTTCATACGCCAGCTGGATGGCTGTGATTGGACAACAGCGAGAGAAAGAGGAAAGGTTGGGATAACGCATGCGAATGAAAGGGCATGCGATGCGACGGTGTGAGAGAGAGGGGGAGCTCGTGGCAAGATTTTCTTCTGTTTGGTTACAAGATTTGCTATCTTCGCTCATGCCTGGAGATTTGTGACGGGGAGAAACCGCCGAATGGTTATCAGTGAGAATAGGATGCAGGCGAGATGTGCAGGGAGAGCTGACTTCTGAGTCGACTCAAAAGACATGCATGGAGATTAGTGCCGGGGAGAAACTGCAAAATGGTTATTAGTGAGAGGAGAATGCAGGCGAGATGTGCAGGAGAGGATGAAACTGTTAATGAAACTGTTGATGAAACTGTTGATGAAACGGCTGTTAGGAATCGACGAAACGCCCTGTGCGGGAGAGGATGCGTGTGTTGTTAGGAACGCCCTGTGCCGGAGATGAAGAAACTGTCGCCAGGAATTGAGGAAATGCTCTGTGCGGGAGAGAAGGTCGCGGCTCAACCAAGGGATTGGATTCGAGGAGCACAAAGGAGGCAACAACAAGAGGAGGCAACAACAAGAGGAGGCAACAACAAGAGGAGGCAACAACAAGAGAACGAGAGTGACGCGCAGAGACAGTGGGAACGTCGCACGGTGCGAAGGAGAGTGTCGCACAACATGAACGTGAGTGTCGCACAGTGAGAGTGTCGCACCTGATCGTATCGACAGGCCTTGCGCCAAGTCATCTGCTGTGAGCACGCCAAGAGTCAGCGTTTGATTCGCTATAGACTCATTCGCTTCTGCAGCGCGAGCTTCGCTCTTCGGCTTTCGCGGGAATTTCACGTGAAATGACGGACGCTCGCGACTCCCAACCGAACCCTCGCCACGTGTCCCAGTTGACAAAAGGCAGCAGACGGAAACAACCTTGATAAGGGTTGCGAAGGATTTCATGGGAACGCATTCTCGACGGAACCTGCTGTCAGGCGACATGCCTACTGCTAAAATACCGAGCCGGCACTGTTCCCTCGGCGAAGCTAAGCTATTTTGTAAGCGCACACATATGCGCTGTCAGACACAGAACTTAGGTAGGCCCTTAGGTGGTCTTCTGACACACGGGAGAACGTGTGAGGCAAACATCCGTTTGAGCTGCAACGTATGGAACCACCAGCTGACAACACCGTAGGTTTGAGCTGTTTATGTGCAATAAACTCATACTCATTCTCAAAATAAAACATGTTTTACACCAAACATTAGGGAGCACGCTCTTTCTAATTTGTTGGCATTTGGAGTGAAGACCTCATGAAAACTGAAGTTTGGGGAGGTTAGGAGGAGTTCGGTGGGGGGAGAGGGGGAGGGACGTGGAGCAACTAAATTACTAAAAAGGGGTGAGGATCTAGAATCGGTGGAACCTTAAAGCATCATGTCCATGGAAGATCTGTACAAGTAATAACAGGAACGATAAGCACAACATTTATGAAATATATTGGGCTATTTACAGTCTCATAAGTGCTTCTTTGATTGTACATATTCGTACAGTAACTATGTGTTCAAGTATACGAATTTCACAATTCGCGTGACCGATCAAGTGGACCCTTCAGGTGATGCACGCGATAGTCTTTGTATAGATCTACTGTTCAGTTTCTCACTCACTACTACTAACATTTGCATCCTTCAACATTCGCTAAATTGCGTCCTCTATTTCAGGTATCACATTACTTCTATTAAGTTCCAACCAACTTCAGGAAGACTACCGTAATCTCCCGGCATGATGACCCTAGGTCTTATGGAAAATTCATTGAAAATCGTTTGGGTGGACATTTTAAAGGATGGTAATTAATAAGACCCATGTGCTGTTATTTATTACGTAAGGTGTTTGTTTGTCACATGTTTTGGTATTCCAATTGAGGTTATACAGGGGGTCCTTTGTTTCAAACGGGGGAAGTATATTCTTAGCCTCGTTTTGTCCGAGCCATCTAGATGGACACGCGTCGGATTCTTAGCATCGACGGCTGCCAACTTTACAGCGCTGGCGAATCGCGCGGGCTTCTTGACTGCCAGCAAGAGTCATTACATGGAGGGGAGAGGTTCGGTCACGAAGTCTCCCCACGGTCCACCCCATTGAGAGGTTTCTTGTGTCAGGCAGGCATGACTCCCTCCATCGTCGTGTCTCGCTCCGCCTCACGTCCCTCTCTTTTCCGTCTTCACAGAGGGGTAGTCGCTGCGACAAGTCTCATTTCCTGTTTTTCAACAAGGGTTTTTAGCAAGCTTGATGTTCTAGGAAATGGCATCTCTCCCCTCTCTCTCCGCTAAGTGTGGGATTTTTCCAAGCAACAGCCATGTCGGCTCTGCAAATGCTCATGCAGAATCGCGTATGTAGGCACACCCGTTCGCACAGCAGACCGTCCAGCTTTTCAGCAGCACCTTCACCGCCCGCACCTCCAGCGCCACCTGCGCCGCCTGATCCCCCCGCGCCTCCCGCGCCGCCAAGGCCTCCTGCTCCTCCGGCTCCTCCTGCGCCATCGCCTGCGTTTGCTGGCTTTTGGGAGCCAACAAATGACGAGGACCTCACCCCCCGTGAGCGTGTGCCCAACGCAGACGAATCCCCTCGTCCCTCCTTCCCCGTCCCTCAATTCCCGCCAGACATTCTGCGTCACGACACCGAGGCTCGGCGTCCACTTGACGCATGTGCACCAGAGTCTCGCGCCAGGAGGACAAAGCACCGCCGCACATCGCGCACCATGGCCGAGAAAATCGGCTGGCTGCACAAGATGCACGACCAGGGGCTGACCATTCGACGGGTGGCGCGGGAAGCGGGTGTCGAGCCGGTGAGCATTCGGCGCTGGCTGAAGAAGGAAGAGGACATGACGCACGCCTCGGGCTCCAGGTGTAGGCTTGTGGGCGCAGGGCGACCGTCGAGGCACCCCGACATGGAGCAGGCTGTCTATAGAAAGTTCCTGAGCCACCGCTCCCGTGGCCTTGCAGTCCCGATTTCCCTCCTTCAGGTTTGGAGCCGGCAGTTCATGAAGACTCATCATCCCGAGGTGGACTGGAGGGCCTCACCTCATTGGACCTTCAGGTTTCGCGTTCGCTGGGGTCTCACCGTGCGAGTCAAGACCAAGATTGGTCAGCGTTTGATCCGCGGTAAGCCGACCTCTCTCATTCGCGCCGAGTGTTGTAGAATGTTTTTTATTCCCACTGCATGCCGTATGGTCGTGGAATAACATGGCGTATTCACCCCTACCTTACTCTTCCGCGTATTTTTTGTTTCCACTGGTAGATTGCAAGCCAAAGAGCGAAAGCTTTTGGCGCTTCGTCCGGAAACAGGTGCTGGAGAGCGGCATCGACCCATGGAACATGATCAATGCAGATCAAACTCCAGTGTTCCTGGAGATGCCTTTCGAGCGCACACTTCACCATCGGGGGGATCGGACTGTACAGATTCGGAGCGCCGGGTATGAGAAGGAGAGGGTGACGGTGATGTTGGCGGTGACAACGGACGGCCGGAAACTGCCTCCCATGGTCATCTTCAAAAGGAAGACGATCCCTAATATTCGAGCACCACCTGGTGAGTTTTGCTTCATGACAGCCTATTTTGTCTCCCTAGCTGTTTCCCCCTTATTATTCCTAACAGTGTGCGTGCATTACTGTGCAGGTCTCCTCATCCGAGCCCAGGAGCGAGGCTGGATGGATGGAGGCCTCGTGCAAGATTGGGTGCAGCACGTGTTGCTGCCCTTCATCCGCCCCCCCACAGGTGTCTCGAGGAGCAAGACACTGCTTGTCCTGGACTCCTACCGTGGGCACCTGACGGACGGCGTGCTTGGCTCCTTCAGGTGGCACAAGATCACCCCCGCAATCATCCCTGGCGGCTGCACACCCCTGCTGCAGCCGCTTGACGTCGTCATCAACCGCGCCTTCAAGGCGGGCGTCCGGCGGTTCTACAACGACTGGTTTGCCACAGAAGGCATTGACCTGCTGACGCCCGTTGGTGAGCCTCTCTCATGTTTGCTGGTATGTGAGTGCCTGCCCTGTTTAACTCACAATTCAGGAATCTCACCTCTCTGTCTTCCTCTTGATTGCTTACTTGAGCAGGCAATCTGAGGAAGCCGCCGCCAGAGTTGGCCCTGCGCTGGATCTGGAACTCCTGGGACCTTGTCCCCGAGGACATCATTGTCCGCGCGTTCAAAACGTGCGGCATCAGCAACAACCTCGACGGGAGCGAGGACCACTTGGTCCTTGCTCACATGCGCGACGCTGCCCAAGTCGAAGTGCACAATGACGTGCATGCTGCCGGGGCTGTGGAAGAGTGGATCAATCCACTCTACGCGGAGACCAAGCAGGAAGACGAGGGGGAGGGAGGCGAGGAGGAGGGGATGGGCAGATGGTTGAGGAGGAGGAGGAAGAGGCAGAGGAGGCAGCAGCAGCAGCGGCAGCAACATCGGCAGAAGCAGCGGCAGAAGCGGCATCAGCAGCGGCAGACGAAGAGGCCTCAACAACTGAGTCTTGGAGTTCCCATGGCGAGGTGGACGTCAACAGAGCCTGGGACATTGAGTCCCTTCAGTAGTGGTAGCTAGTAGCAGTTCGATGGATGTGTACCGTATCAGTAGGTTCGATGAGTTGGTCTAACATGAGGTGTGCTGCCGTGGATGTGCAGTGCCTAGGACTCCCTAAGGCAGTATGTAGTGTAGGTAGGATGCAATTGGCATGAAGCAATAGTACCGGTACCGGTAGGACCGTCCTAACTAATGATGTGGAAGTTGACTTTGTAGTGCATGACGAATTTTGAAATTGCGCAAAAACTGCCATGAAAACCATTTAAAACTGAAGGGGGGGGGGGGTCCTCAAATGATTTACCCCAAACAACGGGTCCTCACAATCCCTTTACGATATTAAGACCCATGGTCCGGAAAAAAGACCTAGAGTCCCTTTTTCGGGGGGGTAATCATGCCGGGAGATTACGGTATGTGTCAACATATATTTGTATATGCTATAGGCTAGATAGTGCATGCTCATAGAGAGTACAAAAACCTTAGGACAAAACCACCCTGTATCACTCATTCTAGTTCATTCTGTTACTTTGAGATGGTATCACGCTAGGTTAGGTACTCCCCGCCCACCCGCGCTTCCGCCCTGGTCCTAGACCTAGCCCTAGCCGTTCGCCGCTAACCGCCCGTTCCTAGCCGCCCGTCGCGAGCCGCAGCTGCTAGCTGTTCGCCGCTCACCGCCGTTGGCCCCCCGTTGCCTCGTGCCGCCCGTAGCCGCCTGTCAACGTTGGTCGCCCGTAGCCGCCCGTCCACTGACCGCCTCTCGCCGACAAGCCCCGCGCTCGCCCACTGGCCTGCTGCTCGTCGGCCCGCGCGTCGGCCCCTACACACCAGCCCGTGCTCGTCGGCCTCTGCTCGCCGGCCTCTGCTTGCCGACCCCTGCTCGTCGGCCCCAGTTCGCAACGGCCCCAGCTCTAGACGGCCTTTGCTCGCCGGCCCCTGCCACCCCGGTCCCCGTCCGCGCCTGCCCTGGTCGCTGCCGGCCCTAGCCGCGCCGCACCGCCGAGCCGCCGAGTCGCCGCGCCGCCGAGCTGCCGATCCGCCGCGCCGCTGCACCGCCGAGCCGCCGAGCCTCCGAGTCGCCGCATCGCTGCACTACAAGGCCGACCTGCCGGCCTTGGCTTCCCCTTGGCATCGACGCTCCCGCCGGCCGTCTTCACCGCACTCCACCGCTCTCCACCGCTCTCCACCGCCCTCCACCGCTCTCCAACGCTCCCCTCCCCCTCCAGCAGCATTCAGCTGCTGCAGCCGTGGTGATGGCGGACATTGTGCTCCGCCTGGATGCGGAGGATCGGGCAGTTGATTTTGAGGCATAGCTCGTCGACCTCCGCCGCCAGCTAGCCGGTCAGCGCCAGGACGCCTACTCCTTGGCCGTCCATATCGACGGTAAGCTCCCCTGCCCCGCCGCACCTGCTGCCCTCCCTGACAACCCCACGTCTACAGAGCGTGAGGCCTTTGCCGCTGCTGAGCTTGCCCGCACTGTCTAGGAGTCACAGCTTGCCATTAATCACGCCCTCCCCCTATCTGAGCGTCCCCGCTTTACCGCTGTAGCAAATGCGAAGGAGTACTTAGATGC